AGTTCTTCAATATCCCAGACTTACTCCTTTGTGAAGTAATTCCCACAAATAGCCTTTTGAACTTGTGTAGATTTTAAATCATAAGAAAACAAGACCCAAAAAAAGAACCAAGGGAATGTCTTCATTAGAGACAGCTTATAGCACAAATCAGGTTCATGACGTGCTGCTGCGTTTTTGTTGCTTATAGCTGCTCTTGAAGACAAGTGGCTCCTTTGGAATGTGAACGTGGAGCATAGATTAAGTAAGAGGTTTCTGCAAAGAATGTGTCACGTTTGGGGAAGGTTATGCACTCTTCATTCGGGTGAGTAAGCAGGGCCTAACCCTGCGTAATGGTTAGCTTCGTCTTACTCAAGTCAGTGGGACTGTGCCCCTACGTGGTCCTCTGTGCCACTTTTAAGAGCTATGTGCTAGAGCACTTTGTTCAGGTGTTTGCTTTGTTTGATGAAAACCTTGATGGGAGCTGTAGTTCCAGCTAATGTGGAACAGTATTTCTATGAGGAAAGCCACGCTGTCTAGAAAAGAAGGACCAAATATGAATTCTTTTTAAAAGCTAGTAAATTAATTCTTTTCCTGATGTGATGCAACCCCATATGGCAGCAAGATTATTGTCATAGGTGTATTGCAAATGAAATCTCTTTAGACTGCTTAGACTTACAAGGGAAAAAAGTGATCAATGGCATGGTTTTAAGATGGTGCCTTTGAAGAGCTGATCAGTTCAGCTCGGTTCAACAAGCAGTATGAAAATTTTAAAAAGGAAAAGGCTAGTTACTAATGACAGTTTGATGTTTTCATCACCAGTATGAAAAATACTTGTTTAAATATAAAAGAAGCTTTGCCAGATATGCGTGCCTTGTGTAACCGCCATCAAAGAAAGCTTTTTTATATTCTTACGGGCGCAGGGTGAGTCTGAATCCCAGTCCCAGGAGCTATACGTGCTTAAAGGTAGTGTTCAAAGAAATCAGTGCAGTGGAATGTGCAGATTTGGAGGACAGGACTTGGCAGCCATTGTGTCCCTGTTAGGCAGTGCTCAAATTCAGACTGCTGAAGCTGTTTTACCAGTTAACTGACTCGGATAGCTCTTTTTAAGCACCTTCCAAGCAATATTTATAACTTTCTGAAAGAGGCCTCCTGACCACGCGAACAACCTCTTGTCAACAGCTTGTTTCTCTTCCCCTTGAAACCCTGCCATTTAGTCTCTGTGACCACCCTCGCTTCACAGCTGGCATCCACAGTCCCCAATTATTGCAGAACTTGCCAGCCAGAATCAGTGTTCCTTGTCTGAGTCCCAACCCTGACTGCAATTCTCAGTCCAAAGAATCTATCTTCTTGTTTATGCAGCTCATCTAGGCTGACATCGGTCTCCTTCAAGGCAAGAAATACGCTTGCTTTGAGAGATGTGCATCAATTCTAACTACCACTTTGTCTCTTTAATGTCACAGAAGTTCAAATATGAGGCTGATTTCATGCAATCAAGGCTGTCTAGAATGTTTTCATAACAGAGAGTTGTATCAAAACATCTATTTGCTCCATGAAAAATTGAAGAGACCGGTGCACTCTTGCTTTCCGGTCACAAGTGACCACAAGGCCCTGAGACTAAAAAAAAGTTTCTCAAAAAAAGCTTGGATAAATCTGGCACCTCAGCAAAACGTTGTCCTTTGCATATTATAATGATTCCTAGGAGTCCCAGAGTGCTTGTTGTACGTGAATTAATTATGCCTCACAACATCAGAGTGTACCAGAATGAACATTACCTATTTACTTGTCTGATAGAAAGGTACTTAAGTTCTGAACTGGATCCATATTTCAGAGGTCTCCAAGTTCAAGAGTTTTTATCACCAGGTCTGTATTTCAAGTTGATCTCTTTTCTTTATAAGGTTATGCTGTTTTCATCATTAATGTCCCCTTTTCCTGAAAAGCGTACGTCTTCATAGCGTAACCCAGCGTTTCTGTTGTATATTTTCATTAGCTGGCTGCATTTTATATTTACTAGTAAATGGATTTCTGAGTTATTGCAAATTTTTTAGTGATGTAGTTTCAGATTTTCTCACCTCTTTTCCACGGTAGCTGCAAACATCTTAATTGTTTCAGTTTTTACCTGTTCTTGAAGCACCGGCAAAATGACCTCTGTTTTAGTGGTTTTATCTTGAATGAAAGTTCTTGTAATTTCTGAAGATTCGAGGGAGTTGGGAAATGTATTTGTGTTAGACGTAACAAGGATATTTATTATTAAAGGAATCTGTAGCACAGCAATATTGTAACTGATTAAACAGCACTTTGTCTCAGCAAGAATTATTGTCTATAAACTATACGTGTAGGTATCCTTCATTTTCATCTGCCATTCCTACTTCAACGTACTTCTGCCAAATGCAGTACAGTACTTGGAAAAAATTGTGTATATGCTTACCTCTGCCTATGGGCGTTAAAACAGATGTACAGGATCAGAACCTGGGATTATGACCTAATCAAAGTGGTCAGCAAGAAAATATAAATGAGGTATTCTCGGTGCAGCTGTGTGTTTGCAGCGTTGCTTTCAGCAGTGGCTCGACCTTACAGTTTTGGGGGGTTCTGTCTGGAATGATCTAGGTCAACTACATTTTGTAGGAAAAAAAGATGGAAAAAACCTTGATTATCAGTGCTATTCTGTCTGAAATTTCATCTCGAAGAATATCTGAGCAATGTGTTCGAGATAAAGATACGTTCATTCCATTTTTGTTACTGGCTGGTTGGTGTTTGATTCCACCTTTACTGAACTCAGATCAAGAGATGGAGAAGCCTTGACTCTTTTTGTCATGAGTTCAGCTTGAGGCTTGAGGCACCAAAAAGCTAGCTAGATATCGGTGATGCATATTTAGTATTGCTGAAGTGAAAACAGCTAATCAGTTAAAGAGTTCAAAGCAGATATTTTGCTACCGGGTGTTATTAATCACAACTGACATGTCTCGTAGAGTTGTGCATTTTTCTATTTAAGAACCTCTCTATCAAAATGCATTTCACCCAGTTAGCTAGCGTGCTTGCTTTGGTTCCTCTGGGTGTCGTAGTCGTGTATTTCACTTGTAGATGGCTCAGTAGCTGAACAGATGAGCCCTGTGCTCGGGGAGCCCTGCCCAGTCAGCTTACGGATTTGGAATTAATGTTTTCATACACATTTCATAGGTGGTACTTGTGCGTCTCAGTAATTCCCTGTACATCAAGCTGGCTGTTTCTTTCCATATATGAGCTTTGGTTTTAGAAGCACAGTAGATAATAACCATAAATGTTTCATTTACTATAAATATTTAATAATTATGAATGATTGATAACCAGATTTTTAAGCAAACTGATAGAGTTGTGTGAAATGAAGACTACCTTTGTATAATTGTCTAAGCTGTATTCTAAATATTATATGGGCTTTGTTGTGCTATTAAGATGCATGCCTGATTGGTATTTTCATTAAAAATATTAGCATATGGGTAACAAACAGAAAAATACACTTTTTAGAGTCGTATTGGCAATAAAATTAATCTGGTTGGACTTCCTTGTGGATACAAGAATTTCTGTATCTGCCAATTTTCATTCCATTGTAAGGCATGCCTTCTTTATGGATTATTTTAAAGATGTTTTTTCAAGAGAATGTGGTTTTTATAACACAGCGCTAATAGCTGGCTGTGTTCCAGTGAGTACTTTTACCTAGTTTGCGTTCAATTTTTTCTAATTGCCTTTGATCTCCCTGGGGCTTTGAAGCCAAAAAAACCCTGTATAATGCCTATCTAATTATCAGGGCTCTTGCATCTCTAAAAGATTTTAATAACAATGCTGCTTTCTGATTTGTGCAACCAGCTGAGGGGCTGCATACTTCTCCCGCAGACGTTTTGGGATGTCTCACAGATGAGGGAAGAATCACTTTGGTAATACATGCCACTGTTGCTCTACACACACGTCTGAATCGTCAATGTCCTTCAGTTGAAAATCCAACCTTGAAAAAGCAAACCTAAATCACAGTGAATAAAACGTTGCAGAGGTAAAACTGTATAGAGACCACGGCCAGAGGCTTGTCCATGCCAAGACTAAGGTTGTTATCTTGTGCTTTATCTTGTTCCTAAAAATAATTATATTATTGCTAATCTTGAGCAAAATTGATGAAGATATAAATATGCATTGAATTAATTCCAGATATATTTAATATGTGCCTTTAACTTGCTGCAGGTTCATTGTTGAGCCTCAGACCAGTGGGAGCTGAACGTAGCAAATATGTCCTGTGGACCAAATGTCATTTTAAATGCAGAAGTTGCACACCAGTGCAATAAGAATTTGGACTTCTGTGCTTTTTTGGACTTGTCAGCGCTTCTTACGTAGGTCATTCACATGCTTTCTCAACTGAGTAAAGTATCAGGGTGGCCTATCCAGCAGTATAAAAGCCACCTACAGCTATTTCTCCTAGGTTTACTGTTTGGTAATGTAAGGTCAGCTAATGTAGTTCACTTGCAGCTTATCTACCATTAAGAGCCATTCAGTATGTAAAGCCAAGGGCAATCAAGGTCTGCGTGTTTACTGCATTGGGAGAAACCTTGGTTCACCTTGTGCTTAGATATGCAGCCATTTCATATGTTTACTTTATTCTTGGATGTTTCAGACATATTGTGGAATAACGCAAGTTTCTTTTCTCCTCTTTCTTTAAAGAAATGTATAGCAAGCTGTGTAAAAATGAAAGAACAACTAAGGACAAAGCAATTAAGAGATTTACATCCTTTCAGGTTCAATCCCACCCTGAATTTTTTTTTCTTACTGCAACTATTCATTGACTAGAAATCAACAGATGAAAATTATGTTTTCAGTGATTTAATATCTTCTGACATATTCCCAGCCATCTGCAGGTCAGAACGTAACCCAGCAACTTGTTCTAGCTAGTAGACAGCCCTCTGCCTAGATAACCTAATTCTCATTCCTTCCGCATGGAACAGATCACTCTTACGTACATGAGCAACAAGCTGTATTAAGTAGTGCTTAAGATCACCCTAAGCAGTTTACACAGAGGCGTCCGTTGCTTTTCTGTCTCTCACCAGTTGGCCGATGGCTTGCAGATATTTCTGAGCCCCTTTGTAGTCCAGGATTCTATTAACGTTTTGGGGAAGATGTCCCTGGTGGGAAGGGAGGCCATGAATTCTAGCTGGTTGTCTCAGCTGACGAGTAGCAAAAGCAGAAATCAGTGGGCTTCCATAGGAAACGGTGTAGACACTTTTCATCACTCCAGCTTCTTTCTTGTGCCATTTTTTCATCAGGTGATCAAGAAGGCCATAGTTGGTGGGTGGTTCTGAGACAGAAAATGATTAAATGTTAGAAATGATAGAATTAAATTTTTGGTCCTGGTGTTTTTACTCCACAGTTGTCACAGGGAATATTTGTGCTATTTGACAGCAGATTAAGGACAAAACAGATCTTTTTGTTCCCAGGGCATGTGTGTCTACCCTCTGGCTGGAAGGGAGAGTCACTGTTAGGTATCAGTAGGGCAGCAGTAATGGTATATATGTAAGGAGTCCTGATTCTTCATAGTCTGTCTGGTAGATATTTAAAAAGTTAGGAGAGCTGTACATGTCACTAGAATTCAGAAACATATCAATGCTCCGTGAATTCTCCTGCTAGTTGTATCTCACAGCTCTCCTTGTTTGCAGCTGATGTCTTGCATTATTGCATAGGGGAGAGAAATCTATTGATTGACGCTACCCTTCACTGCTTCCTGTGGTGATTAAGTATTGTTGTACGGATAACATTTCCACTTCATCAATCAGAAAAATAAGCTACCGACTGGGTAAGAAAGCAGCCAAAAGTCACCGCAAGATCCGTTTTCAGAATTAAAACAGAAGGAGGTTCCTGGTTCTAAGTCTGTGTATTGACCACTGCACCGTGTTCCTTCTGATCGAATTAATAATGCCAAAAACTACCAAGAATGGGGAAATCTGATTTCTGAGGAATCCAGGCAAACTTGCGTCCATTCCAGCTGTGGCAGGGAGGCAGCACAGGGTTGTAACCGTGTCTATTGTATTTATCGTCATACTCCGATACTAAATTTCGGCTTCGTGGTTCGTCATGATGGGTGAAGAAGTGTTGCATTGGCAGGCCCTGAAACGAGATGTACATGAAACCATGCCATTTGTCTTTGTACATAGCATTCAGATGGCTTTGCAAGCTTTTGAGTCAGACTGTACTACCAGTGGTAGCACAAAATTTTGTCAGTACTTATATTACTTTTACGTAGAATTTAATCCCTGAAAATAAGGGCATTTGCATTTCAAGTAAAGTAAATTTCCAGTTAAATTAAGCAACTACACCTGTATGTCATGAGATCTGATTAGTCTGATTTCAGGACATGCATCATGGATTTGCAGATACATTTAAGAAGCCTGCAAATGAAAAGCTGATTGTCTTGTGCTGCTTAAGTGTTTCATTGTGCGCCAGCATTACGTATACTACCTTCCAACTGTCCGTCAGGAGAGAACGATAAGAATCTTTGGGGGTGGAGAGGCACTTTGGAGAAAGGGACATTCTAGCAGATGTTACTTGTGGGGAAAGTATTGTTGTGAAAGATCTGGGACTCATTTAAGTGCAGTTTGTTCCTATGAATCGGAGGTGTGCTGATGAAAATAATCCTCTTTTACCAGCAAGCTCATTTTATAGCCCATGGAATGTCCTGCAGACACAATACCCGCTCCTAGCTGGTAGTAACACGCTGATTTTCTTCATGTGCCCTGGTCACTCCCTGGGGCAGAGACTGGGAAAAAAAGAGAGAGTACCAAGAAGTATGTGCTGTTTGTCTACCTCTGAAAGGCATCCTACTTCAATCAAATACCCAGGGGACTGGGTAAAAAAATCCCGTAAACTGGCCACAGAGCTGCAGTGCCTTCTTTTACACATACAGTTGTTTAAGGATATAAAATATGATTCAAGTATTAGTCAAAGATCATCGCTGTTGGGACTGTTGGCACACACAGCCCTACATGTGAAATTTCTTTTACTTACCTCACATTTCTCCATCATGGCTCTCCTTAGTGTTTGGTCCGGTTTGTGATCTGGGAAGCAAATGAAGTCTGTTCTGTATATGCTGCTGCCGAGTTTCCCAGCGTCTTTTGTAAACTGGAGAGATATACAACACTCAGTATAGCTAAGGCAATCTGATAATTACAGAAGCTCTGTTCCAGGGCTGCTTTCTTCATCTACACGTTTAAAAAGCACTTATTTGTAAAGATGTCTGTGCTCTGTACTTTGACTCAGACGATAAAGTCGGCTGCTATAATCAGCCATTGTAAAATTCTGGATTGATTCCTTGGTGTAAATATAAGATTCTCTACAGCCCTTGAAAAATTATTCATGGTTTGGTGTTAAATACTTTCACCTGCCATGTAAACTAGCATCTGAAAAGGACAAATGCACCCTTTTTTTTTTGTGCCTTTGTTCCTACTTCTGCCGCAGCAGGCCAGTCTCTGCAATATAGTCTAGCATTTTGCTCCAGCAAAAAAAAAAAAAAGAAATCTAAAGGAAGTAATTTTAGCAGAGTCAGGAGGATTTGCCCTAACAGCTCCAATATTGAACCTAACTGGCATGTTTTGACAAAGTTAAATGTCTAATGATAAAACTTTGCTTGGCTTTCAAGCAGGGCATGCAATCTGTAGAGCAGCTCTGCTAGCAAAGATGCTCTTGTTTATACAAGCAAATGAAACCAATACCCAAATTATTAAAGATCCTCTGGTATGAGTAAGAATAAGTATTAACTTAGGGAAGGGTTAATGAAGCCTCTTTTGTATAATGTTGGTATATATTATTGTTTATATTGTTGTAGAGTTGCATGTAAGCTGTACAGCAAGTCTGAGGGATTGCCATAAAAAGGGCTATAGCATTTTTAAGTGGCTAAAGTTATGCCCAGCGTGAACCACACAATATAACCCACGCTCAGGCATTGCTTCTGTGCTGCCTTAGCGAGAAGAATGGCAGATCATAAAGAAAATGAATTAATGCAGGCCAAGCAAGATGCTTATCCTTCTCCCTTTTATTACCCTTCCGAGATGAGCCTGGACTCTAGCTCACGACTCCCCCCACAGCATTGGTTCTGACCCACTCTGCCCCTGCTCTCACGCTTCCTTCCTGATCTTACCCTGTTCCTCTCATCCAGCCAGTTTCCAATGAGAACTTTAGGAGAGTATTTGGGTTCAATTTTCCAACAATCCTGTCCATCTTTTTGCGATGCAAACATATTTCTTTGCCTCACCAGCACTGCCTTCCCTGGTTGTTGGAACTGTTCTTCAGGTTTTGTGGGTGAAAGATTACTCAGCGGTCCAGTGCTAAAACTAGGGCAGAAAGGGGCTGCGCTTCTGCCTGCCTGCGTGCTGAGCAACGTGGGTGATGTGTGGAGCTGCTCGGCTGTAGAACCATTTGTGTTTGTTACCCCCGCGGTGACTGTCGTTCCGGTAACCACGTTCTAGGCTGCATCGTATTTACTGTTGAGCAACAGAGTGGCTCCTAACCCTCTAAAGTCAGCTGTTTGGTTTTTTTCTCTAACAGAGTTCAGAATCAGAACACAGAGTACGTCTCAAAACATTGTGGTGTAAGTGACGTACTCCTCTATACCAACACACCACACATACCTGCACGACACAGAGTCTCTCTTCATAGACAGACACATTTTATTTTAAACAAGTGGGACAAACCAGCATGTCCATTCAAAATAATGATGTTCTTTATTGTCCTAGCTAAAGATAAGGGCTTGCAGCATGGTACAAGCTTGTATAAGGTTTGCATATTCCATGTTCCAACTAATAGCTGGAATGAGGTTCTGATAAGCCTTGTTTATCATCATTAATGGCTGCCCTTGATTGACTACCCATGACCTGATATTAAATATCCTAAAAAGATATTTTCCTAGGTTGAGGCATGAACAGACTCGTGGAATCTAAGACATTTACTATAAGCTTTTTAGAAAGTTAACAACACTGTCCAATCCCCTTTTCCCAGCTGGAAATGAGAAACCACAATAATCATATAGGCTTATGATTCCATGGAATCCATCCTCCAGGTGGTACCAGGTCACTCGAACACCGTTGTCCTCCAATCTCTTCTTGTAAAGCAAGCCGTCGTCCCTCAGCACATCGTACTCACAAGTCAAGATGAAAGATTCGGGCAGCTGGTGAACAATAGCATCTTCGGCTAACAGCGGGCACAGGTTGGGCTCACAGAATCTTTTCACTGTCTCATAAACTTCAGCTATAAAATCTGTGGGTGTAAGTGGCTTCACACCTCTGACCTTAAATTTTTCGGGGATGTTATCCGGACTCACCCATTTCCTGTACTTCAGCCTCATATCTGGAGGAATATGAGAGCCCTCCAAGACCTCTTGCATATGCAGTGCATGCCCATTTAGGTACTGCAAAGCAAAGAAAGCGGCACGTTCTCGGAATAAGAGAGGGACTCCTCGATTTTGATGATAGGATGGTAAGTTGAAGTCCAGTGCCTGAAGGCCTGGGTAGATCAAGATCTGAGCACGTAGTCTGGGGAGGTCTGATCTACCTGCAAGGGTCCGGCAGCTGCTAGATTGCCCCCAGCGCTGTCCCCGCAGACAATTACATTGGCAGGATCCACGCCGTAATGCTCGATATTCTTCATAAAGTGTATGGTAGCATTAAGACAGTCTTCATACGCAGCGGGGTATTTGTGTTCAGGAGCCAAACGATACCTAATGCACAAAAAGAAACAAGTATAAGAGAAGGAGATGTCATTAGTATTAATCAGGAAATGGTATCCTATGCTCTCTTCCAGCCCTGTCATTTTGGGATGGTTTTCCTCCAGGTCAGGATATTCATTACCTCCTAAGCAGGCATTCCTCAGTTAGTGATTGCGGATAAGCTGTAAATTGTGTATTCAATCACAAGGAGTCAGTAAAGTCGGACTGCCTTCTGAGTAAGAGTCTGACCGAGACTTTGTACATTTGGTAGTCATGCTGAAAACTCCCTGTGTATTCTTGACAAGGTAATTTAATAATTCTGTCCCTCTGCTTCCTGTGTGTAAAATGGGAGTAATACAGTGCGATTATTCTTCTCTTTTTCTGTAAATCCCAATAGTTTGGAGCATCTTATTACATGTTCATATGCTCAGCACAAGGAAGACTTCTTTTACCCAAGTAAGTTTTTGATTGGCTTTTATAGATTTTCGTAGTGTGCCAAATATTTCCATTTGGGTCTTTTCTGAATATGTCGGGGCATGAACAGTTAAGAGCTGTGAAATCTCCATTATCACTATTTGTCTCTTTATGGACTTCGCTGAATTCTATAGAAATTTCTCTGCCAAAAAGAACATCTCCAAAACCAGCGCAGCTCTGCTGTGGCACCACAGCAACAATAATCCCCAAACAATAGAACTGGGTAGGGGTCACTTACTGAACAGATACAACTACCGATTCACTTTCTCTGGATAGGTAGCGGCACACTTTTTCATAGGTATCTGGAAAAGAAATATTTTCATTAGTGCTTTGCTATTGCCCTCATCTTTGAGACAGCTAGGGAATGTTCATTCCAGAAAGACATGTATTTGTCTTCAGACTTCCTCCCAAACCATATATTGAAATCTCGTCTTATTTCAATTTTATAAAAAGATGAGAATGTTCTTTCTATGTTACTATAATTCCTCCAGCAAATATCTTACCAAGACTTCCAAATACCCAGCCTCCTCCATGAAAGAAGATGATGCCTCTCCTTCGCCCATCAGAGGTAGCTTTAGGCTGATAAACCCTCACAGGTACTTTGTTGAACTGCAGGTCCTGGATAAAGAGCTTTGGATCCACTCCTAGTTTCCGTCCCTGTCGCACGTATCGGCCAAAAGTGATTTGACTGCAAAGTCCAGTCTTCTCCAAAATCTTTCCCTGTTAAAGGTAAAAGAAATTAAGGCTTCTTTAAAAATCTTGAGTTAGCTAAGGTATAAAAACTCTGCATCATACTTACATTGAACTGTATTCGAGGGAAATTTTAAAGAAACACAAAGCTTACAAAAAAAACCCCCACGTGGTAATGTTGTAAAATATGAATGCACTATAAGAAGATATAATAATAACAGCACAAGAAGCTAGAATAACTACCGTGAGGACTGTTCACAGAGGAGGATAACGGCCGTTCAAGCGTCTCCCAAGCCCTCTCTAAATGGCTTCCTCTATACTAGGTACTGACAGGAGAGTTCCTTCTGCTAGCTTGGGTCGCCCTTGGCTTTTGCCTTAATAGACTCGTGGAAAGCAGTGAGAAAAGTAACTCCACAGTTGGTTTTCTTAATAGGAATGCCCAGTCCTAAGAAAGTGAGAGATTCTAGGACAGAGTCAGAAAACGGTATTTGTTTTAAGTTTGCCTAGGTTAGTTCTACCAAACAGGAGAAGTTCTACCGTTTATTGTACCGGCTGGAATCTGGAGAATCAGATTGAAAAATCTAGGCTTCACATACAGCAATTTGACCCCTGTTGTCTGATAAAAATAAAGGTCTCTGATTCAAGAAAAACAATTTTCCTAAGCTCTCACAGCCTACAGACTGTAAAAAATTTACTTCCATTACTCAAATCCAGTGTCGTTCTAATATTACATCAGAAATTTTATATAGGCCATCCAAATTGGCTGTCTCGGAGTATACATTTTAATTGTCAGTATTGTCTTGCACACCTTTGTGCTCATTCTTACGTCATTTATACTTGATAACAACAATTAAATGTTGTTTATAGAAACAGCAATAAAAGCTTTAATAGTTCTTCATTGCATAAACTCATAGTCCTGAATAGACCATAAAACTCAGTGAATTTGGAAATCTTAACTGCTGAGTTGTGTTGTGCGAGTTAATTACTGCTTTTTATTTGCACAACAGATTTACTGAGCAAAATCAAAAAGCTTCCTTTCCCAATGCTCTTGCAATGATCTTGCAAGCTAGAATATAAATCTGATGTAATAAGCGAACAAACAAAAAGTTGGGAACCAAATTAATTAATGGAATCAAACAAATAAACTGTTACAGTTCAGTTAACTAAACGATCCCAATTTTAAATGCCCAATGAGAGTCTTCATCCATTCCCTTCTTGCCACCGGCTAGTGGGATTCAGGAGAGCTGGGTAGCTTTGTCAGTAAATTTCAAGAGGATGTAAATGGTGTAAGAAACAGTGTGGAGGAAAACAAGGTCTGTGTGATGGCAAAGGCGATGTTGTGGCTAAAGGAGTGAAGGAGAAAATTGAAGATTTAAAAAAATTAAACGATACAGCAAGTGACAGAGGAAGAGTTTAGGAGAGCTCTAATGCCGTTTATGCAATGCTGTAAAAGGGAGTCCAGGGATTAAGTAAAGCAGCCCTAACCGGATTTTGTGCCATAAATGTCAGCCGTGGCAGGAGCAGTTGAAGGGCTGTAGTTTTCCTTGTGCAAGGTGACTTCGCCTAGGGCTGAGGGCAGTTATCAGACAAAACACCAGCTCAGCTCTGAATTCGAGCTAAATCAACACAATTCGGCAAGTTCGGCAATCTCTGCTAACGAGCCCCCCTAGCCATGCTACTTCTGAACGTGAAATGGGTTTTGCCCATGACATGAGCAGCGTCCCGACGCAGGGTGCTCCTCCGCATCGCCCTCCCCACGATGCGGAGCCGCAAGCATCCCATGAGGGCGGCAGGGGCATGCGGATCGTAATCCAGGCTCCTTCGGGGTTCCTTTGCCTCCTAGCGCAGCCCGGGGGCCGGGGCTTGCCCGGGCCGCCCC